GTATTGTAGGATCAAGAAATGTCTCTCGATATAAAGGAATAGAGAATTCTACCACAATTATCTGGACACAAATTTAAAAAAAAATCAATATAAAGCATCATAATAATAGAAACACCTTCATAATAAATCAGAAAGAAGTTGAATTTATTTGTAAAATGATCTTTAAATATGGACCGAAATATTATTTTAACAGCTACAATAACTATCCGGGACCACTATCTAGGAAATAAATAATGATGGAATACTAGATAAATGGAAAGAATCGTATATGAGCACTATTTAAAAGAAGGGAGGTAAATTGGAATCCAAGACTTATAAATAATCACAGTCACCAATTCTTTTAGTCAAATATACGGGAAAATAATAAAAAATCGAGTAGAAGGAGAATACCAAGGATGCAACACAGAAGAATAGGCTGATTTTAGAAGCCAATATCCCACATTTCTTTACACTCTTACACTAACAAGATATCAGCCTCAAAGTACGTTATCCAAAGGAGCCTCCTTCCTCAACTTCTCTATCCGTATATACAAAACAAGATTAAATAGGTACACCAAATATGCAAAACAACTGTCACTGAAAAATTGTTGGTCAATCCAATACAAGGTCTTTCTGTTTCCCACTTATACATATCCTTAACGAGCCTTATGTAGTTCCCAGGGACCTATTTCTCTTTTATACATCTTCATAGCTGTCTAGGTCTGTAAGCCTAAGCTGAGATCTGTAGCTAAGTGTAGTTCTCTTTTCTTCTCACCGTATTTCCCTATTAACTTTCTCAAAGCTAACAAGGCCCTTCTTGGCATAAACCCAAACTGTTTTTCTTCTATCGATGTATCCCTACTTAACCTTATATAATTCTTTACAGTTCTAAGTGTCCCATTTACATTTATAAAGATGCCATTATGCCCTTTCTCTATGCATTTAGCATCCTTTCTTCCTCATATATCCTACTCATTATTTGCCACAACACATCAATCTCGTTCTCTCCTAGAGCTTTCCAAACCTCCACAGGTATTATAACAGGTTCTACTGCTTTAACATTTTTCTATTTAACGCATTAACAATTTCATGTAATCATGTCTCTAATGACTTGGTTCTCCCGCATTTTTAAAAATATTTCTCACACTCTTTCTGGTTTTGGCTTCTATTTGGTATCATTTTTAATAAAGGTGTTGGGTCTTCTTGTCGTTTGTTGGGTTTTATTGTCTGCTACACTATTTCTGAGTTTTTCTTATTTATTTTTCCTACTTTTAGTTACTTGAAGTGGTGAAATCTCTGCCTCAAATGTGTAATTTCCTTTATTACTTACTTTTTGATTTTAAATATCTTGTTTTTTCTTGGTTAATTTCTACTTTTCTTTTACTCGCTTAGGTTGCAAATTATATTTATGTTTTCTAGGCTTTTATTATATTTTCTCATAAGTTTCATATGCAAAAACAATAGCAAACAGAACTGTTCACGATCTCCAGAAGGATTTAAAAAATAAAATTGTAAAACTTGCAGTAAAGTTCAATATATACAAGACCTTAATAAGACCGGTTTTAATATATGGGGCTAAAACGTGGACCTTATCTCAAAATGACGAAAGACTTCTTGGTATTTTTGAGAGAAAAATTCTTAGAAGATTTTTGAGAACGTAACTTTGAACTATATCAGTTATACACCGATTCAGATATTGTGAAATTCATTAAAGGGCAGAGACTTATATGGGCTGGATACATTACTAGGATGTCAGATCACAAATATACGATGAGATTAACATTTTCAAAACCAGAGGGCACAAGAAGCAGATGACGACCACGAAGGAGATCGATTGATGATGTGGAAGAAGACCTACAGTTTCTAAGGGTCAATCTAAGATGGAGGAAAGTTGCCAGGAATCGACAGAAGTGGCAACTTCTTTGTGAGCAGGCCAAATCCACAACGGATTATCGAGCCACTTATGATGATGATGAACAATGTACTTTTCTCGATGCATTAAAAAGCTTTTTTAAGACTATGAAGACGATGTTTAGTTCTATATTATGCTCGTGGAATACATTGTGCTATGTGCTTCACCAGTGAGAGGTATGTTGTTTTCGGATTCAAGCTATTTTCCTTGATCCACTGCTGGCAAGTTGATCAGCTCGATGACCTGGAATCCATATCTGTGTGACTCTGTTATGTTCCTTGTAGTATATATACTGTAAATACTTCTTGTCTAATTAATATTAAATTCTTTGTTTTCTTTAATCAATACACTGTGTGTACCAGTTAGAAAGGTAACATTTTAGGAGCGCCATCCAGAGATAGTTTCTAAAAACTTTAAAGCAAATCATCAGAATTATATTGCTAAAATATCAGCTGTGAAAATAGATAAAATATCAGTATTTCCTCACGTTTTAATATGTGTGAAAATGATTTAAATATTGAGTGTCGCTTAATTTTATAATAATATTATTGGTTACATTAGTAACAAAAGTTAAATGAAGCTGTAGATATAATTGTTTGATGAAAAGCGTTACTTAATATTAATTTTTTTACAACCACGCAGAAATCTAATAATCTAAAATGGATGAATACCATAATATATACAGAGTAGTTTTCTCAAGGTTGTGGTTGTAAAAATTGCGTTAGATCATAGAATTGCAGCATTTTTAATAAAAATATAAAATAACGCATTTAAAAATAATATTCTTCAGGTTTTGTTTTTTAGTCTAATCGTCAGAGATTTTGCCTCGAAAAATAATACGAACAAGCTGAATTTTGTTGACAATGTCAATTTTGGGACCCCAAAAAGATGCAAAACTCCCCAAAAAATGCCACTCCTACTATCAATGCTTTTTGTATAGAATGAACCATTCTCTTAGAAACAACGCTTGAAGCAACCGGCAATTTTAAATGTCAGCTACGCGCTAAATCGATTTTTTTACACAGTTTTTATCAAGTTGAGGGTAAAAATTCGATATCTTTTGAACAGAATGTCCTATTGCAATGATCAAAATGGTTTTCAAAGAAGTAGAGTGTAGCTTTTTTCATACGAATTTTCTTTCTACGAAAAAAGTTTGTAATCGCAAAACCAAGACGACCTAGGAAGGTATGCAGAACAATGAAAAAAGTAAATACAATCCTAACGGCACGAAAAAGAAAGTATATGGATGATAAAGTAAATCGTATTGTAGAAAATTACAAATTTGTGAAAGATGGAACAAATATTTCAAAGAGCTGCTATATGGCGGAGTTACTACAGAAGAAAATTATAATATTCCTAAACCCCTAACAGTAGTAGAAGAAATACCAAAGCCTAGAAGATAGGAATTGAAGAAATATTAAAAGATTTGAAAAATCAAAAAAGCCACGGGGACAGCGGCATTGTGGCACAGAATTTAAAATATGGAGGAAAGTCTTTACGAAACCAACTTGTGAGCTAATACTAAAAGTGTGGGATGCCGAAGAAATGCCTTAAGAATGGAAGTCCATTATAATTCCTATACACAAACAGGGAGATGGAACTGAATGCGAAAACTATAGAGGAATATCGTTATTAGAGATAATATACAAAGTGCTCGCCATACTAATCAAAAAACGATTAGAATTATATGTGGAGAAGAATCTAGAAGAATACGAGGGAGGATTTCGCAAATGAAAATCAACAACCGATCAAATTTTTATGCAAAAAACAAATCCTGATCAATTGGTATGAATACAACATTTCAACACAAGTACTTTTCATTGAATACAAAGAAGCAATCGAGACAGTAGACAGAAACAAATTAATAGAAACGCTAAAAGAATTTCAAGTGCCACAAAAAATAGTAAGATTGGTAAAAATGACAATTAGAAAAACCATTTGTGCTGTGAAGACCCATTGTCTATCTCGCTATTCAATATATTTCTAGAAAAATTGTAAGGGCTAGTATCATAAATAGGTTCAGCACTCTTTTATACAAAGAGCACCATCATTGCAGGAAATGGAAAAAAACTGGCAATTATAGCAAAAAGACTTATTCGGGAGAGTTCCAAAACGGAAATGAAAATTAATATTAATAAATCCAAATACTTACATGAAAATCTCGAGCAAAAAAGGAATAAACAGCAGTGGCTCCTTTAAACTAAAAATGGAGGATGGATCAGTTGTAGAATTCGAGAAGGTGGATAAATATAGGTACTTAAGTAACCTTATTGATCAGACATGTAAGGAAAAAACTAAAATCAACCTGAGACTAACCAAGAGCAACAGATGTGCTGGAGCCATGAACAAAATAATTAAGGTCAAAGACATATCTCCTAATACAAAAATAAAAGTATACAAAAACTATAAAATTGGACCCACAATGCTAGACTAAGACTGACCAAAAGCAACAGATGTGCTGGGTCCATAAACAAAATAATTAACGCCAAAGACATATCTCGTAATACAAAAATAAGAGTATACAAAAACTATAATAATTGGACCCACAATGCTACACGCTGCTGAGACATGTTTGATGAAAAAGTAAAAGAGGGAGAATTTAAAAGACGAACTAATGTAGAAGTGTGCCAATTGCTAACCCTACAATAACAAAAGTAGTGAAAAACGTAGACTAGAAAAGCTCGGACATCTAGAAAGAATGCAAGGTAATAGACAAGTCAAGAAGATTTTTTTTTCAAGAATATTGGTTGGAAAGTACGAGTAAAGGTATTAGAGAGATGAGAATCAGAGATTGGAAACTAACATAATAATATATGAACAGAAAACAATGGAAGTTATCTATCTAGCAATAGGTTTGAAAGGCTTGTTAACGCTACACATACAAACTGACATTCCAAATCACCGGTCGCTTCAAGCGTTGTTTCTGAGAGAATGGTTCGTTCTACACAAAAATATTATCAATATTGTTTTTCTTATCAAAAACAGTAGAAAGTAAAATTGGAGATACCTTATTGCAGAAAAATTTGTTGAAAATGCTGCAAATCTAGTTATTTTGCACTTTTTAGCTTAAAACCCGTCGAACACCTTCTTAAATGCTGGTTGTTTACAGGAGATGAATCCGATTCAATGGGTAATGCCAGAACGGGCAAATCGCTTACTACACCCCCGGCGAAAGAAAAGAAGAAACCGTTCTTCAAGAAACAAGAAGCGACTGCTCCCTATGACGTTGTTCCTTCCATGCGACCCGTAGTTTTAGTCGGTCCTTCTTTAAAAGGATACGAAGTTACTGATATGATGCAAAAAGCCTTATTTGATTTTTTAAAGCATAGATTTGAAGGAAGGTAAGTTATAATCATGACCATAATTGACCATAATGTACTTACGTACCTAGATCTGGATAGGGTGGTCTAGATAAACGTGTCATTTGCATACAAAAAGGTTTAGCTTTATGTCATTCAAGATAGTGCACACATGACGTATCTAAAAACAGAGTTTTAGATAAAAATCATTATATTTGCTTTTATTCATACACAGGGTAGATTTCTTCGTAAGTTTTATCTTGATCTTAACCTCTGCTCTCTCATTTTGGCAGTAATTAATGCCTCTATCTACATATTCTTATTCTCGCCACAAGCATTTGTTGTTCGTTTTTGCAGTCTAACATCCAGTAGCATATATACTAGCTGATCTTATGACAGTTTGATAAAATGTTCCATTAAATTTTATTAGAATCTTTCTGTCACACAAAACACCACCCACCGCAATCCATTTCTTTCACTTTAATTCTACTGCATTCATCTGATTATTGTGTCTCATTACTTTTCACTACTTTTTACAATCATTTGACCATCGTATTTGTAATAGTAATTCCATATTGCAATAAATTTTTTTTTGTCGTACTAAGTTTCAAGTACAAACTTTCTTCTTAAAGAGCTTTTCCGGACCAAAGCACTGTGAGCTTGTCTTCGGACTTGAGCACCAAAGGAGCGAATTCTTCTATCAGAGCAGCTAGTTTTTAGCTTGCCAGTGACAGTCAAGCCATTCCAGTTTTTGCTCTAAATCCCTTTCGATATTTCTTTTTAACATCATCTGGTCACCATTTATTAATTATCATGAAATATGTCTAGTTTCGCTGTTATCTGATATGAGACTAATGATAATAAATAAGGACCACGGACTGAGCTCTGATGAAATCCGACTTAGCTGTCGTTACATTAATTGTTACTTTTTTGTGCTATATATTAGTCTGTTTTCTTTTTGTAACTTAAAAGTTTATTTTTGGTAGCATTCTTTCTTCATACACCTGAGAGAGGTCATTAAATAAGTAAGCCTACTCTTCTTTTTTTACACAATTGGCACCCAACGTGGGGCATCTTGTAAACGTATACAAGCAAAAATTGAAATTGTACAAATATTTATGAAAAATATTTGAAGTATTTAGATAATAAAAATATAAAAATATAGCAAAACCAACTGTGACGATTTCAGACAGTTCTACTGGTACTAGTCTCTCCCTAGGAACTGTACTATTTGAAAATTGTATCTGTTAGTGATCTGCTTTGCATACATCTAAACTAATTCTTGGATATCTCGGTTTTTCCAAATAATTAATATACTTGTATTCGCGTAGGCAAATAAACAACCACATATTAATATAACTTAAGATAATTACGCAAAACTGCTATATAGATGGTCAAAATTTGATGCAAACTAATTATTTTGTTTTAGAATAATAATAACTAGGGTAATGGCCGACATTTCTTTGGCGAAACGGTCTCTCCTGAACAACCCTTCGAAGCGTGCGATCATGGAACGTTCCACAACAAGATCGACGTGCTTGTCGGAGGTTCAAGCGGAAATCGAACGCATCTTCGAGCTTGCGACTACCTTACAACTTGTGGTGCTGGATTGTGATACTATAAACCATCCTTCGCAACTTGCCAAAACTTCTTTAGCTCCATGTATTGTCTATCTTAAAATTAGTAGTCCTAAGGTAAGTTATCTCACAATAGTGCTTTTGAAAAATAGATTTTAAGGTTTTAAAACTAGTAATGCAAAACTTTTTAGGCTATGTTTATATATGTACTTCCAATTAACATTCAAAACAGACGTGTGTAAATATTTTTATTAAACCAAAAATACGAAATATACGAAAAAAATAAAAAATGATAACTTTTATAATAATAAATGATGTCATTAATGCTGTGGTAGTAATAAAAAAAATCAAATGGAAAATCCTAGTGATTGTATATTTAGTGTAAATTACAATAAATATAAATTTAAATTATCCAAAAAGGATAGAAAATTTTCAGAATATTGTCAGTCCTATCAGACCATCATCAGTGAATACCTAGAAATAAGTATTACTACGTTAAAATAATTGATGCAAAGAGGTAAACGATGGTATTGATAGTAATAAAAAATTTAATAGAGCATTGAAAGGCTTTTCACTATCTCTGAAGAGTAATACTTTTAAAGTTGGTGACATCTCACGCCAAATTTAATTCGATAATATATGTATATATATATATATATATATATATATATATGTAATAAGAAGTATTTTACCAGGATATTAAAGAGGCACTGAAAAAAGTAGAAACTAGAGAAATCACGATATATCTGGGGAATCTCAATGCCAAAATTGTAAAGGAACAAAGTGAAAAGTGTGTAGGAAACTATGACCTGAAAAATCGTAATGAGAAAGAGGAGCGTCTATTACAATTTTGCCTAGAGCAGAACTTGCTCTTTAACGATAATAAAGAATTCGACACGAACCATGAATGAATGTCTTGAAATCAAAGAAGATAGACTATGATAATCTCAGAGGTAATTGAAATTATACGTGGTTTATGACAGGTTTGCATATTATTAATTCTCTTTAAGGCATAATCGAATATTTCTGAAAAAATCCCAAAATAAGACAGGAGTCCGTTGTCGGCAAATTGAATAAAAATAATTAGATATGCATAAAGAAACAAAGGAAATGGGAAAAGTAAGAAGAATAAAGGATATATATATATATATATAGATAGAATAAGTTGTGAAGAGGTAAAAACATGTTAAGAAGAGGCTACACAAACGAGAGAATATAAGATAGAAAGGAAGATTGGAATAGACACATTAATAAAATGGCGAAAAATAGAATCACCCCCCTGTATACGTCCATTGCTGGACATAGGTCTTCCTCAGTTTTGTCATCGGTTATCTGATAGTTTGTCGACGTTTCCTGCCCAATTGCATTTCAGCAACGCAATTTTTTTGATGGCGTCTCTTATTTTTGTTCTACGACGAATTTCATGTCGTAAGTACTTATACAGTACAGTCTGCACAATATCCCTTCCATCAACAGCAATATTTTGATTCAGCACCAGGTTAGTTATTTGCATCTTGTGCATATTAATTTTTAGTTCGACCTCCAAGGAAGCGTGATATAATTTTTCAAACATTATTATTGCATCATCAATACGATCGGCAACAAGGACGTTGCTTTCTGCAAATCTCAAATGGCTGAGCTTTTTTGTTCAGATAGTCTTACGCTAGCTGTGGTATTTTGGTAGATATATTCGATTGTATACCGTACTGAGGAGACTTAAAGAGGTCGAAATACGTATATGCGGCTTATCGCTGCTCTGTATCGAATCAAAATCTAATACCGTCATTGTATTTTATTTCTTTACTTTGGTTGGAGTACCAGAAATTGAATGCACTACGAATATTGCCCATGACGAACGGCATTTGGAATGCAATTTTAGATTCCCATGCCGATTTATTCATCAAGCTGTTTGCTTCGCAAGTTTTTGGAAGCGCGGTGGCTGACATTTGAATTCGATTTCGCCAGGTAGAAATCGTATGATTTCTCTTTTTGTTTATATTCGATTGTGTTAGTGTAGTGATGGTCTATTTGGCATTTTGTCAATGGTATTGAATGCTTTCTCGTAGTCCACAATTATCAGTGTCAATGGTTTGTTGTATTCTGCAGACTTCTCTGTCAGGTTGTTTATCACTGGTAAGTGGTCGTTAGTGCTGTATCCCGATCTAAATACAGCTTATTCTCTAGGCTGATAGCGTCCAATCTTTTTTTGATCATTTATATGAAAAGTTTATATATGTGTAAAAGCAAACTGATAGGACGGTAATTTTTTAGATCTGTCATATCTCCTTGATTATATACTAAAATAATGACTGCATTGTTCGAATGACAAGAAGTTTTTCCTTGGTAGATGCATTCAGAGAAAAGGTTGGTCAAATCCTGGATAATTTTATTTCCACCTAGTTGACTTCGTCTCCACTTAATTGCTTCGATGACTACTCCGTCATCGCCAGGGGATTTCTTATTTATTATTTCTAAAACTGCCGTTTTGATTTCGTATGGAATAATTTCTGGCAATAATTTTGATCCCTAGTTTATTATTTTGTTTAGGGTCTGATCTTGCCTTTCTTGGATGCTCGTATATATTTGGCGATAAAAAGATTCGACAACCTCAAGGATTTTGGTAGTAATGTTTCCATTTTTGTTTTTTATTTTGTACATATTCTTGTTGCCTATGTTGTTCGTATTTCACCTTGCAACTTTTAAACTCTTTTCTTGAATTATAATAGTTATTTCTCTTGTATTGTTCTCTCTTACGTCTTTTCGGATTAATCGGTGGATATCTTTATTTATTTTTTTCATTGTTGTGTAGTTGGAGCCGTATTTTTCCATCAGCTGTCTTCTTTTACCTATCAGCTCTTTGGTATTTTAGCTTAGTTTTTCTTGATAGGTCAAAACGGTCGGACAGCATTTCCTTTTCGTTTCTTTTAGAGTCTTGGTTATGCCATCATTTGCTTGATCTACATCTTCCATTTCGTCTTGCAACTTTTGTATATGTCTGGTTAGTGTATTTTCATACAGGTCGTTGTTTTCTGGGGGAATCAATTTCTTTTTTCTTGTTTTTAGGATCATCTTTGTTCTTTCTTATTTAACATTTAATACTATCTTAGCCCAGATTAATCTATAGTCGCCACCTATTGAAAATTTGTTGAGTACTTCGATGTCTTTGATTATTTCTTTTCTGTTTGTTATGGTATAATCTATTTCATTCAATAAAATATCTCTAAATTAAAATATAAAAAAAGGTATTGTAAAATATATTTGTTGTGCTAGTAACACACGACAAGAATTGTTTATATTATTTTCCTAGCTTTAATTAAATTTCCTGTTAACTCTTTTACACCGTTTCCAGTGTGTGCCTCCACCATAATTCAAATCGATATCAGTCGCTTTCATGTTTTATACTAAAACATTTCCGAGAATCAATTCAATCGTCAATTTATACAACCTAATAATTTACTGCTTCGTTGTCTCTATTTGTTTTAAATTTCAATAAATCGTAATAAAAAGTGTACCTGGTAATGTATAACATTATATCATCGACACAGAGTATACACTCAAAAAATTCAATAATTTATGACAAAAAGTATTATACTACTGATTAAATTATTCAAATATAGTAATAGAGTGATAGTCCAGCGTTTAACGCTAAAAAACGATATTGAAAAACATTTTTAGAAATATTGTGTACTAAGCCCTTCTTGGACCCACTTGTTCAACAATTATGTGCCCGATGTAAGTTTGTTATTCTTAAAAAGGTTGTAATTATTTTCAAGACTCTGTAAAATTTTAAATTAAAACGTACGTAAGTTACTCTTACACTGATCTTACACATATTCTTCTTCCGTGAGGGTTATCTCCTTACGGAGGTTGGCAATCATATTGGCTATTTTTATTTTAGAACTTCTACCTGGTTGGTCTAAACAAATCAATCGATTTGCATTGATACCAATCACGTAGATTCTTTAACCATGAGTTCTGCCTTCGGCCAACAGATCTTCTTCCTTGAATCTTTCCCTGTATTATGAGTCTCAAAATTTCACCAAATTTCTGGTTTGTATAGTGGTGATTAGTTCTGTTTCTTTACCAACCCTCTCCAGTACTTCTCTATTTGTAATTTGTAATTTGTCTCTATCAGTCCATGATATTTTCAATACTCTGAATATTATGAATATATTTCATATAATACCCCTGTCATTGCGTGTGCATAATGGGAAAATATACCTCACCAAATACAGGCCAAACTTGTAACCTCGGAAATCTTTTTTGGGAGGTGCTAGAAAGATAACCAATGGAGACACTGCGGACGGCAGCCAGATGGTTGGTGGAGAGCGAGTCGTGGGTTCGAAACTAGCTTTTGGAACCGAGAATGGATCCAACGGAAGAAATAGGTAAAGATAGGATAAGAGATATTAGAAAAGATACAGAAATAAACAAAAAGATAGATGGGTAAAATTACCAAAGATAAGAGAAGATAGAAACAGGGCGCCACTCAATTTTTTGGGGTTAAGGAGAAAATTAAGAAAACCTTAGAAAAGAAAAGAGATAAGAAAAGATATTTAGGTTCAGAGATCAAACCCAAGGAAAGATACCAACAGTAAATTATCAAATAAATCTGGTCAACGCAATATATAAACAAATAATAAATATATTAAGTATTACACTTACTTACCTACGAAACTTAATCAGCCTGATCTTTCTACAGTTCAAAAGCATAGTAATATTTAAAGATAGTAATTGTTCAGAGCTATTATTTTATCAGGGAACTTGTTAGGAGCCGACAAATAAAATACATGCATAAAACAATAACAATATATTAAACACAAAATTATGATGCTGCTAAATGCAACACAGGTAATAAAAATACACAACTATGAAATGGTGTTATATATGTATAAAATTAAGCAATAATGTAATAAAAAAAATACCTTTACCAAGATATATAAGGCAATCATATACAAATATAGTTTGGCGTATCTCGAGATATCATAGGAAAGATAGTGAACAAAAATTATAGGAAATACAAAATATGGCAAAAATTACTTAACTCTAAATTTACAAAAAAAAAAACAAAAGGTTACAGGAATGAAAACATAAACCAAACCGCACTTGGTTAAGTCAATTAACTATCTCGCACTATTATTTAATAAAAAACTGAGACTTGTATGTTCATAGGTAATATTTATAGAAATTTCTTGAATGGTTCAATTACATTCAAAAATCGGCAATCTACAGGTGAAGATATAGATGATACGTCCAGATGTGATACCATATCCATATTACTCGCCCAGATAATTGTAGATAAAATTATTTACAGTAGATCTTGACGAAGGCAGCTTAATTCACTGAATTTAATACTTTTCTGGTACTAAACTCTGAATTTAATAACCATTAAAGGTAGTGTAGAACTATATATAATTTAATATAGTCTAAGGAAAGAAAACTCAAATATAAAGTGTATACACACTTATATATAGACGATTATATATAGAAACTAATTCACAAAGACGATACGATAAGAAATAAAGTGAGCAAAGCGTAACACGAGATATTGGCCTTAACTCAACAACGGCCCACCAACAAGTCTCACGAGATATTACCTCACTCAACAACTGCCCACCAACAAGTAACTTGGTTCCACTCCAAATTTCACCAACTATCCCTGAAAAAGGAAGAAGAAAATATTCCCCCACTCAAGAATGATAGGACAGTTGTATTTGTTTCTCAGAAGGTAAGGCCTTGACGACTATTGGAAAATTTGAGGTAAAATAATCGGTATTAACAATTGGACATAAGAAACAGACAATACTTGGGATTCAGTTATTGTCAAAAGATACGGGCCTTCGACGAAAATTAACAAATTTATGAAAAGAAACCGAATACCAGAAAGCATTATACTCTTTTCATAATGAATATTATGACGGAAGGATTAAAAACCATTCCTAATTAGGGAATTCCATTTTAGCTGGGTATCTACAATATTTTGCTATCGATACACGATCATAGGCGTATCACACGGGGATAAAAGGAATTAGAAATATTTAATATATTAATAATAAACAAAATGTTACAAACTATATCATGGACGAACATATGCTAATAAGTCAGCAATCAGCTCACAGTCATAAAAGGCTTCTTTTTTGAACATGTTGCGGTCAAAAGACGTCTGCATACAATGAGATTGTTCCACAGAGACTTAAACTCTGTAGCAGAGGACCTGAAACAGTCAACATTTTTTTTTATTTTGCACTGCGTTTGATATACATCTCTGAAAAAAATATATCTTATGCTTGTTGAAATATTTTAGGTTTTGCAAAGGCTTATCAAATCAAGAGGGAAGAGTCAAGCTAGGCATTTAAATGTTCAAATGGTCGCTTCAGAAAAGTTAGCTCAATGTCCGCCTGAAATGTTTGACGTCATTTTAGACGAGAACCAATTGGAAGACGCTTGCGAACACATAGCAGAATATTTAGAGGTATGTATTGTAAACAAGTATATTAACTACTGCAAACATTATTAGTTCTAAATGATTAGGTATATGTTTTGTTTTCATCAAGTATTTTTTTAAAGATAGATTAAATAGTTTTATTGTATATCTTGTTTTATTATTATGGCAGTTTGTCAAGTTTTGTCTTTGTATGTACTCGTGTTCTGTCCATTCTATATATTTTGTATTTTCTTTGTTTATGTATATCCTCGTCTTTCGCGCTGTGGCTTCTAGTCTTTTTAGTATTTCTTTTAACTCTTGTTTACTTCTGGCTATCAGTGCTATATCATTGGCGCTTTCGCTGATATACCTACAAGTCCTGTTCAGTTAATTCCGACTTCTTTGACGACTATTTCAAGAAGGATACTGAACAACAGTATTGATAGTGAGTCCCCTTGTCGCACATTCTCACTAACTTCAAACTCATCTTTTTCTGTCATTTATTTTAACACTATTTTCTAAGTTGTTTTTTTTTAGTGTCACTTTTGTCATTCTTACTCATTTTTCACCAATGCCCATATCCCGTAGTGCTTTCTATATTTCTTTTTGTTTTACTCTGTCAAAAGCTTGTTTAAAGTCGATGAATAGGACCACTAGATTTCCCATATTGATATTTTCCATATTTTTTCTGATATCTTTTATTTTATATGCAACGTTTGGTAGCGCTTCTTCTTAGGGTGACTGTCCATTCCGGACGTTGGTGATCATTCTGGCTATGATGACTTTGTTGGTTGCTATACGGAATAGCTATGTTGAGGTCTTTCTATACCATGTTCTCAGGTTAGCAAGTCAAGATATTCTTTTTCCTCCTGGGGCCCTTTTTCCTTCAATTTTACCTTGCAAAATGCATTGGAGTAGCTCATATCTGCCTTGATTTCTTATTATATATCCCAAGTACTGCAGTTTACGGCCCTTCACGATGATTACCAAATACTCGGTTGTGTTCGTAGTACTTCTGGAGTTTTGATAGAGTTTTCTGCCTTCAATGTCTACGTTTCTACTCTGTACAGAAGCACTGAGTACACGTAAGATTGTAGGAGCCTTATTTTTGATTATAGGGTGAAGTCATGGCTCTTGAACAAAGAGATTATATTCAAGAATGCACTTTTTGCCTTTTCGATGCGATATTTAATCTCTTGGGCATTGTCTCACGACTCATTTAGTATAGTTCCCAAGTAGTTGTACCGTGAGACACATTCAATTCTTATTTGATTCACATACAGGTTTCACATCCACTGCCGTTACTTCTGGTAGGATTTCAGGACCTGAATTTTCTTCAATGGTAGGTTCTAGTATTGTTCTAAGGTCGCAGAAACATTTCTCCAAGTATTCTTCCCACACTTTCTTTTATCTTCTTTGGTAGCGATATTCCACTGCAATTATGGCATAAATTATGGCCTTTATTATGAATTGGACATAGTGTGGCTTCAGTCCATTTTTTTTGGTATCCTTTTTCTGGGCTCTTATTTTTCTTTAGTTTCTTTATTATTTTTTTTATCAATTTTTTTCAGTCGGCGGTCTTTTCTCTGTTTGCTCTTGATCTGTATTTTCCTTCATTTTTTTTTCATATTCTATTGTGGGTATTTAAAACCTCTTCTAAGTATGCTTTCCATCTGTTCAGTATTTCATCGTTATTTACTAAATTACTTCCATTTTTTCATTTGTAATGTACAGGTTTTCTTTGGTAACCCTTTTTCTCATTTTCTCATAGGTAGAAAAATAACCTGTTTAATATAAATCTGTAAAACATACAAAAGACAGAATACAATATAAAAATTAGAGAGAATTATCCATAACAAATACACCAAGTAAAGTGTATATAAAACCTACCGAGTCAAACTTATTGAATAGAATATTGAATTTTTTCATAACTTTTTTTACAACGATCCTAATTAATATTTATAATTTTTGGTTGACTATTCGTTTAATTCTAGGCTTATTGGAGAGCAACGCATCCAGAAATAAGCGTTCCGAACGTTTCCCGGCCGATGGGAAGTTCTCCGCAAGCTTCACCCAGTGGCGACCAAGGACGACCCACTTTGCCAGGTAAAAAAACTTACGCGTTTTATGTTTCACAAACGAGCCTTGAATCCACCACTTACGTCTAACAACACAGTTATGATATTATTTTCAAACGCATTTTAATGCTAGGTTAGAGCTTGAAGCCGAATATAATAGAGTGACAGATTAGGTTCTGCTAAAATTGTTTAATGCTTTGAAAATGTTTACTAACTCATACATGTATATGATAACTCCTGAGGTTTAAAAAGTACAGCATTTGTGGTCATTTGGTAAAGGGATAAATTTATTTTTAAGATTAGCAGAGATACTAATCTACTTATAGCAGAAACTATAGATAACATGGAACTTGTTGGAGTCTTTTGTAGTCGAAAAGTAATTTTATATGTATTTACTTTTAATTATCTTTTATTTTATTTCCAAAATAGGTTGTCGTTGTTTATTCAAATTACGATTCTATCACATCTCTGTTTTGAATAACGTACCAGTTCATTCTGATATTGAGAGATCTGTTTTGTGGTTGACATTTTTAGAAAAGACATAGATTTCTGCATGTATGTCATGAGAATGACTCAGGTAAAAATAATATCGAGATGCACTTCTTCTTTTGCAGGTCTTTAGTTAAAAATAAAATTGTGCCGATTTTTTCATGAATACATGCTTTTCTTTCTTCCAGTCAAAGACGCCACAGTCTTGGCCAACCTTTACTACTTTCGAATGTTGGATATAATATCAATGTACTCTGATGGTTTGTAAATCACCTCTTTTTTTCTCATAAACTTTTTCTGGGACTCCAAATACTCGATCTGGTGGAAGATAGCTACGACCTGTTATGGGAAAAATGAACTTCACCCTTTTTACATTTTGTGGTGCATGTTTAGAAAGCCAGAAACAAGCCATGGCCACGACTGTTAAATTTTTGTTCTGCCCCCACATCCATCACTCACTAATCGCATAGTAGTAATAAGGCTTTCCATTTCTGTTGTTTTGAATGTATCAAAAACTAACGAGGCAATTTCATTACATCCTTTTTTAAACTCGTTTTCTGTCGAAATTTAGAATATCAAATTATCTGGGGTCAGTTTACATGCAGAATTCCCTTTGACCACAGTTAAGTTGTAAAGGTAAAACTGAAAATCAAAATTTTTGGGTGAGTACATTTAAGTGATTCAAAAAAAGCCTAAGTACGTAACTTATGAACACGTTTTTGAAATCATGAGCTCTTATTTTTCGTTACCTTGCTGTGCGTGTTTTAATCGTTCATATAACTGTACCAGTAAAGTAAAGTACCAGTGTGTTACTTTCAGATCAATTTGATCTTCTGTGAGTGAACTGATATAAATTTTCCATATAACGCTCATAAAAGTACTAATTAAACTTAACAAGCACATGTAAGGGCAACAAGTGAGGTGAGGCTTTAAAAAAACCATTGACAAAACATCACCAGACCAGTTTGACGACAATAGCATGATGCGCCCTACGCACTCTGATTGGTCAAATTGAGGAATGTTAATTTTGCTTCAAATCATGTGTCGAAATATGTGGCTTATGTTTCAGACTCTGTTATGTCTGTTTTTCAATGTGCCTCCGGTAAGTTGTCGTTCCATCGTTTTAGTGGTCTTCCTACTGATCGTCTTCCTATTGGGAACCGTCTCTCGCCCTCTTTACTACTCTATTTGTTGTCATTCGGCTTATATGATCGTTCCATCTACTCTTCTACTTCTTACCCAGTTGCTGATGTTTTCCACCTTGCATCTACATCGTATATCTGTACTTCTAGCTCTGTCCCATACTGTCTTACATCAGTTTTTTTAAATGTTTTCATCTCTGCTGTTTCTAACATCATTTTTGTCCTCTCTGTATCAGGTCTTGTTTCTGCCGAGTATGTCATTATTGACACCATCACTATTTCTATTATCTCACGTTCCAGCTCCAATTTACATATTAGTAAATTTTCAGTAAGGTTTTTTAATATTAAAATGTGAGTTTTGGTTCAAAATCTTATCACGGTTCGATTCACCTTTAAAAGACGAATTCATTAATGCTCATATACTTAAACTATAACTGAAAATATGAACATTTGGAGAATGTGAATTTTGCATCTACACAGTTCTTTTGGTACTCTCACGGCCAGCTTTGTATTGATGTATTTTATAACTGATGTTTTTCTGGCAAGCTCATCTGCGCTAGTTCGAAAACCCTTATATAAATTTCACTTGAACACTGCAATATTGCAAAAATCTTTACCTGGAATACAGGGGAATATCCTTCTAGTGAAATAGAAAAAAATTTGTCTTTCCACTAGTACTTATGTTCTATTTTCGCCTTCTGGTAAATTATTACACTTTCTGGTAAATTTATTATTGTAGATCTTTTGGGAGTTTATGTTAAGCCCTACAATTGAAGTCTGTTCTGGTACTAAAGTCAAAACCTGTTACATTTCATCTCTGACTGCGACATTAATTTACCTTGGGCTAAGATGGTCATGCCATCTGCTTAGCTCAGGACATAATGTTTGTTGTTGTTGATTCTAGCTCTTAGCTCATTTATGAATATATGTCACAAAAAAGGAGTTAGCCCCCCCCCATTGCAAACTGCCTTTGGTTATCGGTGCTGACACTAGCACCGATAACCTAGTTTTTACTTCGTAGGAGTTATTGTCGATTGCGCTCTCTATATCTAGAAATACACCCAGCATCATCTCTTGATTTCCATAACGTACTTCACCCTCTGTACAACATGGCGCAGTGCTGTTTCCGTAAAGAATTCTGCTCTATACACATACTGTCCCTAATATACTCGTATTGGTCAATATACCTTATTTAATGTGTATATTAAGCAGTTTTTTTCAGAGTCTTCAGTACAAGTAATTATAAAAGCTTTAGAATGTTAACAGTTTTGTTATTTTAAATAACTTTTTTATTTATGACCTAATTTTGATAATTTTTTTGGAAAAGAAGAAGGAAAATCGTTCCAGACTTATTTATATAATTCAGATTTCCAACGAAATAAAAATCAAAAGTGTATAATTAAGTCAATCTAAATATGGTGAAGTATAGTGAAAATATCTGAGCCTTAGATATAAAGGTAAAGATAATGATGATTCATATAATTCCTTACTTTGTCTTATTGCTCGTTCCCTTCTAGTTTTTTTCTCTTTCATTGCACTTCATCGCTAAACAATTTTATGTTTTTGGCCGAAGAGTTTATCATACAGGTATGTTAATCCCTTTTACCAAGTAACACAAGCTGCAATTTACTTTTTAAATCTCAATGTAGAACATGCGACAATAAAAATCATTGTATTTATATCTGCCAAAAAATAACCCTCTTTAATGTAAGACACATTAACTTGTGTCTTAAGCTGATTCTGCCAATTACTAACACTGTCAAACTAATAAATTACCATTTTTTCAGCACACCACGATGTATACGGATACGGTCATCATGAGTCACGAGGTAGTCATGCAGCTGTTAGATACATAGGGTTGCAAAGTTGGGACTCAGTAGACTCTTTAGAATCACTGTCTTTTTTATAGAAATGAGTCACTCTGCATGATTGTCTTGCGATTATTGTACTCTTATATATAGAGACATAATGAATTGGGAAATGTCAGTTGTCAAATACGCAGTTTAATATAAATAATTTGATTTTATATAAGCTCAATACTTGTTGTATTATAGCAAATAAACCATTGTTCTTGATGATAGTTATTGCTATTAGTTTAATTACAATAATAGGTTATAAATACTAAGTACCAATAAAACTAAGCAGTTTACTATATTTCCATGATATGTGATAGCAATTATTTCAGTCAAATGCACACTAACATTCAGATTTTTTACGAAAAAATAAAAATGTGCATATAAATGGGTCGAGTAGTGTTTAGCTTGCAACGTAAAGAATTTTATTAATGTTGCTTAGAGTTTTTATCAATAGAAATTAAATGTTTCTAGCCTTAAATATTTACGGATTTTTAGAAGAAAAAAAATGTTTACTTAAAAAGCCAGTTTTGCAAATAAATATACAGGATGTTTCAAAAAGGTATGTCATAAATTAAATCACGCATTCCGGGGACAAAAATAAACTGATTGAATCCAACTTACAAATAAAAATGGACACGGCCTCATAGCCTTCATGTATTTGGTTTTTATTTCGTTAATGTTTAGGCCACTGTTTTGTGCCGCTCTTTCTATCGCATTACATGCTTCTATCATCTCTCTTTCGCTTTTAGCTATACTATCAACATCATCTTCAAATGCCAATATTTGTACTCTTTTTGTTATTATTGTTCCTGTGGTGTTGACTTTGGACTCATTACTATAGTCACCTATTGCCAGAGTCTGTAGGTTTGTTTGGTCTGTCGATTTGCTGGCCTTCATGTATTTGGCTTTTATTTCGTTAATGTTTAGGCCACTGTTTTGTGCCGCTCTTTCTATCGCAATAAATGCTTCTATTATCTCTCTTTCGCTTCTAGTTATGATATCAATATCATAAGCAAATGCCAATATTTGTACACTTTTTGTTATTATTGTTCCTCTGGTTTTGACTTTTGACTCCCTAATTATTTTCTCTAATATGATGTTGAATAGAATAAAGGATAAGGCATCTCCTTATCATACGCCTGTTCTCACATGGATTGTATCTATTAGGGCGTTTTGAATTCAAATTTTGCCTTGTACTTTGAGTGTTTCTTTTACTATATCAATGAGTTGAGTTGGAATATTAAACTCTTTCGGTGCATGGATTAGAAATTATCGATGGATGCTATCACAGGCACTCTCAAAATCAATTAAAAGATGATTTGTGTCTATATTCAATTCATTATTCTTTTCCAAGATTTGCCTCAAGACAAAGATCTGATCTATTGTGGACTTCTGCCTGCAGAAACCACATTGATATCCCCTTACTATTTGTTTCGCATTTGGTCTCAATCGGTCATACACAATATATGACAGTATTATATATGCCACAGTTAGTAGCGTTATTGCCCGGTAGTTTTTACATTGAAGCTGATATCCCTTTTTATGTAGTGGGATAATTACTTCGGTATTCCAGTCTTGTGGCAGTTGTTTATTATTCCATATGTTCACTATTAATTCATGTATAGCATTCAAACAGGTGTCTCCGCCTTCCTTTATTAATTATGCGCTAATGTTGTCTAATCCAGGTGACTTGTTGTTTTTAAGTCTGGTAACTGCTTCTTGCATTTCAGCTACTGAGGGAGGGAGGGTTGTTTGTCTGGTATCCGTTTGATCCAGTATAATTCGATCATATACCGGATCTTGGTTTTTTCCAAACTGCTTTTTGAAGAATTCTGTCATCTTTATAGTATGTCACTCAGTTAAGTAACTATATCTCCTTCTTTCTCTCTGCACATCATTGTTCTTGGTTTAAATTCTTTTCTGCTTTTGTTAAGTTTTTGGTAAAATTTTCTGGTTTCTGATGGTTTATTTAGTTCTTCCATTTCTTGGAGTTCTTTTTCTATGTGTTCTCTTTTCTTTCTGCGATGTATTTTCTTCTCTTCTCTCTTTAGTATTCTATATTCCTTCTCTGTCTTTCGTATTCTATGTCGTTGTTGTAGTCATTGATACGCATTATTTTTCCTCTTTGTTATGTTACGACACTCTTTATCGAACCACTGTCCTTCAGTTGAGATTCGAGTTTTTTTTAGACCCAGGGTCTCTTTGGCCGCGTCTTGCATTTTTACACGCTTTCCATTCTCTGTTTAAACTGAGTTTATTCTCGCTAAAATACAAAAATATCATAAGAAAACTGCACTCTTTACCTTTAAAACGCAAGTTTACGCAACTTTTAATTAAAAAACAAGTTTTAAATGTTTAAATCGCTAGTTGTGTGAAAGTTTGAATTCAGCGTTTTTTAAGCAAATGCTTCAAGTTGCCAAAACTCAAAACTAAAATTTTATGCTGTAGGTTTTAAAGGATAGGCTCTAGTAATCAAAATTTTATAATAGCCAATCAATGAAAGAAATATATTGTATTGATCTGGTAAGAATCATAAAAAATGCAAAAAAATGGAAAAATCGCGCTACATTTATTTATTTAACACCTTTATAAAAACTGAGTTTATTCTCGCCAAAAATACAACAATAGCATACGAAAGCTGCAGTCTTTACCTTTAAAACGCATCTTGATTTTTGTCGATAGGACACTTGGATCAAAAGATATCGAATTTTTACCGTCGAACTGATACAAATTTTATTGAACATTTTTATACGAAATATGCTTATTAACATTTTTATTTAAAATGATCTCAGCTGCATTTGTTATTTGAAACATTTTTTTCTACGTTGTACAGATTCTTGGTAAATCGATTTTTTTGCGTATTTACACCTCTACGAGGGGGTTTTAGAGGGAAGCTCGGAGGTAAAAGTGATAAACTTTTTTGCATCGTTTTTTGGGGTCCCAAAATTAATATTCTTAGGAAAATTCAGCTTGTTCATATGATTTTTAGGGTTCAACTCTCTGACGACTGGACGACTATTATAGTAAAAGGATAACTAGGTTAATATTTTCATAATTAATTAATACTAGAATTAACTCAAACTCTAATGCATTAATCTGTGATTATTTGACCAAATTTGAATTATTGTAGTAATTTTATAAAGGATATATGTATAATAGGAATAGTATACATTTAATATTTTCTGTGTAAATAATTATACTCTTGTATATTTGATGACAGACATTTCTCCATTCAGAATTTTTACACATTTTTATGCATCTCCGTTTCATTTATTTTACGCTTAGTATTTTCTTGTGCATTTTATTTTCTAAGCTGCAAAAATTTGTAGTGGTTTAAACATGTAATTCACGAAGAGTTATTGTTGTACAAAACGCACGTAATGTTATTTTGGTTAAAATTTATGTGATACAAATATTTTTAAGCAGATTTGTATATTTAACTATAGAGCACTCCTTTCCACTTCCTCTTCGCATTTCATGACTATTTTTCTCAACGATTCACCACACCTCTGGACTCCTTTTTTTTTCTTGCCCCTCATATCCTTTGATTGTCTCGTTATTCGTCTCAAACCTTTACATTCCTCAAAAAAAAATACTTACCTTTTTATTTATAGATAATTTTAAGTGGCTAAAATTAGATGGTTATTCTTTCGTATCCTGGATAATCTCCTGATGGTTACACCTGTAAATATATTATCCCCAAGTAGATGTAGTTCAATCATGACAAGAAGTAGAATTGTTATCGCCATATTTAACATCCAATCCAGAGGGCCAGGAGCTTACTGGTGTTTAAGTAATATGGACAAAGGGATTTAGGAATAAAAAAATTGACGTATAAGAAATTGAAAATTGAAAAACAACTTGATCTGATAGCTAATATTAAGACAGTCATACTAAGTGTTTCCCAGGAAAGAACTTGGGAGACAAAACTTATTAAAACTATACTTATCCGCTGAAGATATGAACAATCTGGAAGTTAGAAGGCTGCGTAAAAGAAGAGCTATGTATCAAACTAAAAAGTGGTCACCAACTATTCTACATAGGAAATGAAAATCGTGCAGTAGGCGGCATCAGCTTACTTATTAATAAAAAAGTGACAACCACCATCACCCAGTATAAGGCTATATCGAAAAGAGTAATATAAATAGATATCCAGATTAACCAACGTTTCTTCTTCTTCAGATGCAAATCCACTAATGGATGTTAGCGATCACATTTTCCAATAATTCTCTATTTCTTGTAATATGTATCATAGATTGTATGTCGTTAATCCCTGTCCATTGCCTTATGTTTCGGAGCCAGGACATTTTCTTCCGTCCCATTCCTCTCTTGCCTTCAATTTTACCCTCGATTATAAGTTGGAGGAACTAGTATTTTTCATTTCGCATGATGTGACCTAGATACGCCGTTTTCCTTTTCTTGATGGTTTCGAAAAGTTGGCGTTCTTGGTTTATTCTTTTAAGGACATCTATATTTGTGATTTTCGCTGTCCATGGTATTTTTAGGATACGGCGATAAAGCCACATTTCGAAAGCTTCTAATCTGTTTATATCCCTCGTTTTGAGTGTCCAGCCCTCTACGCCATATATCAGCACTGACCATACGTATCACTTAGTAAACCTTAGTCTCAGTTGAAGATCAAACTCTGAACAAGTCAGTACTTTCTTGAATTTTACGAAAGCTTGTCGAGCTTGCTCAATGCGGCATTTTACTTCCCTGTCCGATGCCCAGTCTTCAAAAAGCCACGATCCCAGGTATTTAAATTTATTCACTCTTTCAATGGACTTAGTATTCAGTGTTATGGTGGAGTTTTCAAGTGTATCTAAGTTTCTGGAGATGATCATAAATTTGGTCTTTTTGATATTAATCTCTAATCCCATTCGCTTACTGTATTCTCCGATTATAGTGACAAGTTGTTGAAGATCGACTATGTTGTCACAAATTAAGACACCATCGTTATACATGTAACCAACGTTATACATGTAAAATTATTCAAATCTATGCCTCGACATCAGACCACGAAGATGAGGAAGTAGAGCAATCCTACGAAGAA